TGTGGAGGGTCCAGCCGTGTCCTCCCGGACTTTGTCACCTCCTTGCCCATCCCGGGCTTTAACCTCACCAACCGAAGTTGGTGTCCCCTCCCGGGGTGTATCGATCTCCTGCCCATCCCGGGCTTGTCCTTCCCCCTGCCCATCCCGGGCTTGTCCCTCCGATTCCTCAGCCTCCATGGAGGAGGCCGGGGAAGGGCTCCGGCGTCTCGTGCTCTCGCGCGCTCCCAGGTGGAAGCGTGGCCTCCACCCTCAGGCGGCTCCGAAACCAAATGTTACGAATAGGATGTGGGTGTGGGGTTCCTGCCCTCTTTGAGCCGCGGACCCGCCTCGCCGGGCACCTAGGTCCTTACAGGGCACTTAGGCGGGACCACCCCTCCTACTCCCGTATCCTAATATGGATAAAGGTTACATTGGGTGAGGAATAGTACGTGCCTTGGGCAGGGCGTCCCCCACACCAAGGGCCATTAGTAGGACGTCTCCCACATCAGGCTGGTGCGCGTAACAGCCTCTCGCAGATCAGTGCGCAGACCCCCAACCCACGCCCTATACCACATGTTCTCGGTCGCTTTGGCCGATCGAGACACCAATTCGCGGAACCGGCCAAGGTACTCCTTGACCGATTCTTTCCCACCTTGCCGGAGACTCTTCAGAGAGGCACTGATTCGCTCCTCTAAGTCGTCCTCAGCGAACCGCTCGATGAACTTTTCCTTCACCTCCTCCCATTCCCGCTCTCCATCCTGCATCCATCGAGCTAAAGACCGCGCCCATCGCGCGGCCTCTCCTTCCACGCAAACTGTCAGCAACGCAATCCGCTGCGCGTCTTCGAAGATGGCGGATGCAACACATACTCCCTCAAAGTGGAGCATCCACCCTTCGGCATCTTCACCTCCCGCCTCCCCAGAAAATGGGCGGGGACGGATCTTCATGGCGCCCTCCTTCGGCGCTCCCCGGCGTGCCGCGTGCTCTCACTCCGCTTCCGCGCCCGTCCCGGCGATGGAACCAAAAACTGTCGGCCTTTGGGCGGCTCAATTGCGCAATGAGCCTTTGGGCTGCGGCGACCCCGTGGGTACGGGAGGCATTCACGACGGCCACGCGTGGGGAAGACAGGTCTGTCACTCACGATCCGAACCCATCGTTACAAATGAAGCGAGTGGTATTTATAGTGCGATGGTGTGACAGTTCATGAGTTGCTGTCTCCAGAATGCCCACTCTAGCCACTTTCACGAGCTGGCCGGGTTCGTGTCCCTTTCACACACCGAATTTCTATTCCCGCCGCCCTGACCAACTATGATCCATTACCGACTAGCCCAGCAGCTACCCGCGTACACTACCCACTCCCACACTCCCTCACTCCCACACTTCCTCAGCTCCTATTCCCGCCGCCATCCCCAACTATGATCCAATCCCAAAGCCGTCCCCGTTCGTTCACTATAGCCAATTCCCCTTAATTGGCTCCCCTATCATACGTACAGCCCCACTCCCCACAATAGCTGACCCTCCGTCGGATGTAATGGCTCATTATCCGTGTAAATTGAACGCGTTTAACGGTTTTCATTTGACACTACCCGGCTGCCATTGAATAGCATCCCACTGGTTCAGTTTTCTGGCGCATTGCTGTTGATGGAGGACCAATGATTAAGCAGCACTTCTCCCAGCCAGTTTCAAGGCCAATAACATGTTCCCTTTGCTTTAAGTTCGTTCTTTCTTTAATTGTCCTTTTCCCGGGAACTTTAACAGCTGGCTGCTACTGGCGAACCCCATGTCCATGGGTTTGAGTCGCTGACCATCGCGTTGTTACAACATTGATATCCCATTGCATCAACACGCTCTACAGACACGAACTCTGAAGGTTTGCGTTGATACAAGGGCCTATCAATGGTGCATCAAAGCATGCCAAATTTCTGACTGTATCTCCGGGCCGATAAATGGATCGTTGAAACAGCATTGCTGGAAAACTGCTTGTTAGGGAATGCTGCATCAGGATGCCTTGTTGGAGGGCTGATAAACGCCGACGCCAGGAGCCATTGCCTCAAGCGTAGTCCACCAATATTGAGGGCCATTTTTTCAATGACCCCCTTGCTTCAGCCCTCATCAACATTGCATCAATGCCTGCCGAATTTCCGGATGACACCCAGGGATTGCTTTTGACGCAGAGACCCCCTGCAGCAATACTCCGCGACGAGGATCGCGCAGCACAACTGGGCTCGAGCCTACACTGCGAGTCCAAAGTAACCACACGGCTGCTTGCTGTCCCCGTCGAGGATCTTCATCTCACTGACACACCCATGTAAACGGTGACTGGGTCTCCTTGCGGCCGTCATGACCCTCAAGATCGCCAGGGGCCCCGTCGCCCGTCCACTCGGCCAGCTGGTGATCCACAGACGCGCAGTACACGCCCAAAGTACCGGATTCCAGTACAGGCACCCGGCGCAAGGGGGCGAGCCCCTGAAGTACGACATGCGGGGCGCCACCCTGTCCCCCGACCCTTTCAGCAATCTGCCCCCACTGGATACGGCAGCCTGTGACCAGCCAACGTCGGCCCCGCGGGCCCAGGCGAGAACCAATGGCCATCAGTACTTTGGTACGTGCCTGATGCGCCGCTGCCCTTTCCCTGCAGGTGGGCGCCTGCCTCCGAGACCGTCCTGTGGCCTTCCCAGTTTGTTCCAGTCGGACGGACGCCCCCGTCAAAAGATTCTGCCCGCTGGGGCGCTGCTGATCGGCTGTCGACGTAGCAGGATCCGCAGAAATAGCGACGTCGGTGGCGGTCTTGCCCGGGGAAGGGGAACGCGCACCTTGGCCCGGGGCCCACTCACTCAGCCTCTTTTTTCCTTCCCCCCCCCCCCAACCCTCCACCTCCCCCGGTGCCTGCCTTTGCGCAGATTGCCCCGCGCGCCGATCTCAGGGCGTCATTCCGAGGGGAAGATTGCGCGGACATGGCGGGGGCCGTCGGCCTGGGTTGCAGCGGATGGGCCGGTCGGCCGATCTGCCCGGTGAGGAACTCGGCAGCCGAGCGGCGCGATCTCTGGCGGCCGCGCGAAGCGCCTTGGAATCAATTGCCGCCGGAGGCGAGTTTGCCGCTCCCGAGCGCGGGGCGTCAAAAAACTGGGGCGAGCCACGCTGTTGGGAGACAATGCGGACCGGCGCCCCTCGAGACGGAGCCGCCGCGGACTGGCTCGAGGGGCGGGCGGCATTTTTGGATCGGGGAACGAGGCATGGGGGTGGAGATTGGGCTCCCGCGGACGGGCTGGATCTTGCGGTGGGGAGAGTGGCGGGAGCCCGCGGGGGGATCGGATTGGCGGGCGGCGGGCGGGGCCGGCGCAGGGGAATGAAAAAATGCGGGCGGTCGATACGCATTGGGGGCTATCGGTGGGTGGCGGAAAATTGCGCAGGGGGGGGAGGAATGCGGGCATTGGGCGCTGGTGGGGAGAGGTTGGATGGGGACGCTGGTCGCATGTTGTTTTTTCGCGCGCTTTGGACGGGGATTTTCGGCGCGAGATTGATCGCTGGGGGGTAACGTGGCGTGCTGGCTTGGGTGCGTGGGGCGCCTGCTGGCCGTTGTGGCTCGCCGGCGCCACAGGGGCGGCTTGTCGACCCGGCGGGGGTGCTTGTACATGGAGCCAACGCTTTGGCTGGCGTTGCCGCGGTCGGCGCCAAATCCGTCACCGATGTAGTTTGGGACGCACGTTGAGCTTAGTCGCGCCGGTGGACGGGCATGGCGGCTGCTGACGTTCCCAAATCGGCAGATCCAGGTTTGATGCGATGTCAGCGGGCGCCGGGGGTGGGTTGGTTTGTTGGGGGTGGGGTGGTCATAGGGGGGAAAAATATTACTGCCTGCACCAAATCGGTGACTGCTTGCACCAAGTCACGTGACACTTTGTCCTAACCTCAATTTTAGGGTTAGGTTTAGTTCCAGGGTGAGTTTTAGGGTTAGGGTTAGGGTTACGACAGGTTTAGGTTTAGGGTTTAGGGTTTAGGGTTTAGGTTAGGTTAGTTTGGACGTAGTTGGACTTGATGTGCACGTGACTTGGTGCAAGAAGTCACCGATTTGGTGCAGCCAGTAATTTTATGCCCATAGGGGGCGTGTGTTCCTGTAAAATGTTCAACCCTTCCGCATCAGAAAATTTCACCGTTACGCTTTTTTGCTCCGCATTTTGTTTTTCAGAGCGTTGTTTGATTTTTTCACGTTGCTGCGCAGAGAAGGCCAAGATTTGCGCTGCTATTTATATTAATTTCTCTGCAAGAAAAGGCCAAGCGTTACGTTACTATGTGGAAAAGTTTAATTTTTTACAATAGTCCCTCTGTCTTTTCCTTGAGGATCCCTTCTTCTTCCGCTGACAAGGCCATCGCCGGTCAGAGGGTCAGTGATTTTTGAGTTTAGGGTGTCCGAAACAAGAAGGGGTCTTCGCAGAAAAGACAGAGGACAGGGAATTGGTCGCGCTGTCTTTTCCGTCGAGATCCCTTCTTGTTTCGAACACCCTAAACCTAAAAAACCGCTGACCCACTGACGGGCGATGGCCTTGTCAGCAGAAGAACAAGGGATCCCCAAGGAAAAGACAGAGCGATTAATAAAATTTCGAGACAGAGTGACTAATTTCATGCCAATAATCGGCGGCGGGCGCGGCCTGTTCGGTGTGTGCCTCGGTGCGTCACGTTCAAGCCGCGCTCGCTCGGCTGAAACTGCAAGTTCTCCTAGCAGTTTTGTTGCCGGGGTTCTGGGCGCACTCATTACTAAGATCTGGCTTCCTTCACCAAGAACAATGTACGGTTTCAGGAAAACCACTGCAACGTCACTTGGATGACTGTCCCAGAACGGCAGCGCGTGGGTTGACGGTAGTGCGGTGAACTGTCTGGCACAATGGCGGCACTTTGGGAATTGGAGAATCGGAGAGCTGCAACGGCCGTGCAAAGTCAAAGAAGAGTGCCCTGCGGGCGGTGCGGTTTGAAGCTGCACTCACAGATCGTGCGCTACTTTCAGCTCGTCAAATAAGCTTGACAGGGGCGGAAATTGCTTGACATGGATGGCTTGGCGCTGGTAGCACAATGCCGTTGACAATGAAAATAATGACTTCGCCGATCACGCCGCGAGACGACCTCTGAGACGCCCGACTGCCCGTTCCTGCAGAATCAACAATGGGACTACCCTTTGGCAAGGCAGTTTGGCGGCGCGGCGGGAGACAGAATGTGGGCATCTGAGTGGGGATCGAACTTCGCCGATCGCCGAGGCTGCTGCACTTCGCCCGTGGTGGCTCGCCCGGACGCCTGTGGGGCCTCTGTCACCACTACCATGGACGACCTGCTGGCGCGAGCGCTGCTGAAGGTCGCGTCTGAGGAGCAGATGCTGGCGGCCGGCCACGCGAAGGCGCTGATGGCGATGGCTGCTGAAAGGCACGAGGAGCATCGGACCCGTGGAGGGCGCGGGCGGCGCCGTGACGCCCTCTGTGGCCTGAGGCCCACGGCGCCATCGACGGGGACCGACGGTAAATGCTTGTACAACTGGTGGAACATGCGCACCGGTACACCAGCGCACGGTGTTGCGCACGCTTCCGTTTAAGGATCAAGTTGCGTTGAACCGCTGAAAGGGCGCAAAAAAAAGCGCAGATTTTTTAATATGGCATTTATATTCATCAGTTGATGAATAAGATGAACGAGGGAGGAGGAAACATGCTCCCAAGCATGAAACCTTGCAGATAGTGGTGAACTGACACGAAAGTTGTTGACGTTGCTTTGTTTGCGGCTGAGTGAGGCTGACAGTTCAGGGCTAGTAGATGGGCAGTGCTTGGGCACGGGCACAACGCATGGTGCTCAAGTGAACTGACAGTCAGAGGCTGCCCTTTGGAGCCAAAGCGGTGTGTCGCCACAAACATCCGATACCCTTCATGTCCGAACATGAAGGTCATGAAGCTCACTTTGATGTTTTAGGAGTCTGGGGCTGGGGTTGTTTTAGAGATTTTAAGGCAACCGCACCCATTATTATCTTCAGTTCCGGAAATGATATATATTGCAGAAAACTCTGCGTTGCGCATTTGCGACATCAATGTATCGAGGGAACAAGACAGTGCATGGGCACGGCGGGCTCCTCAGCTAACAGATGCATGGGGCCAGGAGGGATGGCGCGCTCAGATGAGGGCTGCTATAATAACAACTGCTTTCTTTCTATTCCTAAATATTGCAACATCCTGGAATGACAAAGGCTGCGCATTGTGAACGCGGAAAAAAACTGTACTGGCATTTTCTATTCCGAAATATTGCAACATCCTGGAATGACAAAGGCTGCGCATTGTGAACTCGGAAAAAAACTGTACTGGCATCCTTGAAGTCTGCGAGAAACAGTGCAAGTCCAAGTCCCTCGTTGCGTCGTCGACACATACATATTTCGTACATAGCAAAATCGTGTATGGGCATGTCCTGTCCTTCAAATTTCATCAGCCCAAGGGCTCCTTGATCTGGTTACCAATGGCGTGCACTCGCGTGAGGCGTCGATGGAGCGCTGAATTGTATTTTGCTTGTGTCAGGGCTTAGAGATGGGGATAATTGCATGGAGGACCTGGTCCAAGGCATAACGGGGGCTCGCCTTCTGAAGAACGGGTAGGAGTTCTCTATCGGGGGCGGAAATTTACGGTTGCGAAGATTGCACGGCTTGGTTGGAAACAGCAGGGAGGAAAGTACAATACACTATTTTCAGCAACTTAACTGAAGCATGGATCTATACACTCTAAAGAGCTGTCTGAAAAGGAGAACCATTTTGGAGTTTTGGGGGGCATTGATCTAGTACGACTGCTATATTTATAGAATTCGGACTGCGTTCCTGAGATGCTGGCGCTGCTAAAATTCACAGCGTGGTGCGCTTAAAATCCATGCCATACGCCGCGGGAAAACAAACTTCATTTCGGTTGTTTCGCTTGCCTAATGATTCAGCTGTTATGCGGGCACATGAAAAGGAGAGAAATAGCAATGTGATGCCATGGCTCCGAGTGTTGGCTGCAATTGCTGCAGTGCATGAAGTTGCATCTTCCACTGGGGAAAAAGGGGCCAAGAAGCACGTGTACGAAGTTTATGGGTTTGGGTTATTTCCGTGTCTTTTAGCGCGCTGAACACTGACGAAATGCATATATGTCCGCCCGCAAAAAGTGTTATCTGGTGCTTTTTTTCTTGTGTTCTGTGCATAATGTTGCCAAAGGTCGCCGTACTGCACCCCACCCATTGATGCTTCCTTTTCTCCCGGTTCCAGGTCCGTCGAGGTCCGCACGACCCTGTTGGTAGCAGGATTCATCATAGGTGAGCAAATCTATCCATTGCATTCCATAAGAGAGGGGGCATTGCTGCTAGATAGAAGGAGCATCGCTATAAATGCTACAGATTGCTATAGGTTAGAAAGAAGGAGTATTGCTGTTATTTGCTATATAGTTTCGGAATTCAGAAATCCAGAACGTACGCCAACGTTTGCAACGTTTTAAATGGCACTGAAATGGATGATGACTTGTTGGATGCCACGTGCGGGAGGCCATGTTTCCGGGGTTCACATGGTGTTAGAACATGCTTGCTGAGTCTGTTGCAGCGCCCTAACGTTTTCACAATCGGCACAGAATCGGCACAGAATCGGCACAGAATTATGTGGGAATATCGCGTGCGTGTCGCCTTTGCAAGGACTCTGCCGCAGCGCCTTCAGCTCAGTGTACTTCGGTATTGGGCTTCAAGACAGCCGGAATAAACTGCTGCCGTGTGTGACAGGCTCTGGAGGCAGCTCAATCCGTGAAATCGTTGAGAGGACAGGCGCCGAGATATCTTCGTGGATGCTGCCAAAGTCGCCAAAACGCAAAGCCGGCGGTAGAGTCCGCGTGTTTGCCATCTCGGTGCGCACGCTCGCCTATTTTCCATGTTGTCCCTGCCCGCCCGTCTCGATGAGTTGAGACACAGACCTTTTGGTGCCGGTGAAATTACGCGCTGCAAAACGTCTTTGGGTGCCTGCGAAATTAATGAAATATTTGCCATTGATTCAACGTGGCGCGAGCATGAGAAAATAGTCCGCGCGAGGACCCTGGAATGTGCTTGAATGCGACGAAATAACAAGAACCCCAATTGTTTGTTCCTAAACGTATGGAGGCCCGCTGCGAAGAGACGCCCTTAACTTGTTTAAATTTTCAACGCAATGTTGTTTTATTCGACGCGTGCACAAGGGGGCCGCCTTGCTTGCGTGAAACAGCTCGTCATGTCGAGGTTGTTTCGGGGACCTTGAGATTTGATCTGATGACGTCACGCACTCTCTTCCTTGCAGGGCTCGCCCCAGTCAATCAGGCAAGCCCTCTCCATCTTCTTGGCCGCAGTGTCTCGCTACAAGCAGCTGGTTGAGGGGAGTCACGCTGGTGAGGCGTTGAGAAAGTAGCACAAGTAGACGCTGATAAAAGTCGAAGAGGCGCTCTAACGCAGCTCATTAAAACGTATGAGAAGTTGAAAAATTGCATGAAAAGGGCGCAAACATGCTGCGTGTGTTCATGTGCAATTGGGCATTATTCGCATAACTGGGTCGAAAAATGGCATAAGTGTCCAACATCACCCCAATTGGGACGCTTTCTTGAGTCTTGGTATGTGGAAGTCGGTGATGAGCAGTGTGCCGTGCATTGCAACGGGTCGGAGTTGAGGATCCCTCACCGCGTTGTTTGGCCATTTATTGCAATAACCTCGTTCATCGGCAATTCCATGATGCGACCAAGCCGGAGAAACTGTGGGGAAGCCGGAGAAACTTTGGGGGCGCCGTCGAAACACGGGGCCGTTTGATGCCCTCATCTGCCCAGCGTTTCCCAGACAAAGAGGGTGGGGTGTGGGGTGAGGGGTGTGGGGTGGGGTCTTTGCGGCACCCTGCGTGGCCGTTTCATGCTCATCACGATGGCTCCAAAGCACGCTGCAGCGTAACAAGACATGAGGTACGCAGTGCTAAGCCCCTGATGGTGCGGTGCATTCAAGATTGTGGCCAAGTTGTTACTCAAGAATTTATCAAAGATCGCCCGAATGATTTCGTTACAGGTGTAAACAGTTGAGTGTGCTTGTCCGCGGGGTCGGACTGGCCACATGGATGCCGCGAGTAGCTTGCAACCGGCCGGAAATGTGCTGGTTTGATGAAATGGGTTGCCTGGAAATTTGTGTGATGACGTCACTGATTTTTTATAGGGCGCCGAGTGGATGCCATCCAGACGGTGGAGGGCGTGGAATTCCTGTATTTACCGCCGCCCAAGAGCAAGGTCCCGCACGCTGCTGGGGCCACCATGTGACATTGATGAATGACGGCCCTGTCCAAGGCCCTCGACTTGCAGCAGGGTTGTGTAACGAATATTGCGTATGTGCAAACGATTACGGAAGGGAACGCGGCGGGGGCGCGTGACGTGTGTGCGGTGGATTTGCGACGGTTGTACGGTGATCGTCCGGTGGCACTGGGACCGGGAGACATGCTGATCTGGATGCGCGTCAATTAGGTGCCTACCTGGTGCCCTCAATGAAAGGAAGTTGACTGACTGATGCGTGGCGCCTTGATGTCGCGTGGATCCCGTTTTTTTGAGATGACAGCGTGGGCATGTGCCGGCTGCGTGGTGGGGGAAACCCAATTTGCCATACTTTCGACTCAAAAACAAAATTCTGAAATGGATTGTTGCATTGTGAATCTCTACCGTCTGAAAGCGCGACTCGATGGCGCAAGGGCCGCGGCACAGCCGCGGCGCAGTTTGGAAATGCTCGGGGGACAAATGGGTACTGTGTTGGGGGTGAGTCCGGCTTTAGAGGGCGCGCGTACAATAATGTGTGACGCCATTAGACGCCGGCATAGGCATGTTGCATGTTCTGACGACCGAAAGGAGCAGCGGTTGGCGTGGGGTGCGGTCGGCCTGGAGTGTCGTTTCCCGGGGAGCGAAAGAGGGAGAAAGAATGGTGACGGCTTAGTCAGTAGGTAGGCTGGAGATCGCTCGTCGTCAGTAGAATCGTAGAAGAGCTGAAACTGGTGAAATCGGCAACTGTTGCGAACTGCCTCTGAATAGCCATTGTTTTCTCGAGGCTGGGGTCTACTCAGGCCGTGTACATTTGGAGAATAAGGCATCTTGACAGCAGAACTGGAGGCCAGCCCTGAGTACCGCTTCGTTGTATATTTTGTTGCCAGGTGTGCGGGCTGACGGCCCGGGGAACGGGGGATAAGATAATTTATGCGGGGGGTGTTCGTTGCGAAGCTCCCCTTGAGAGATGCGACGCGAAACACCGGAATGAACAGGGCAGCTGCAAATGGGAGCGCAGGTTGATGCGCCCATTAGGCTGCGCTGTGAGTTGATGATTTGCTGACAGCGAATTGCCACTCGCGCCTCCGCGGCGGCCGCCAGAGGGGAGAGGAGTGGCAAAAAGGGTGTGGGAAGGGAACTCGGAGCAGTCGGTTGAACGCTTGCTTCTGGAAATCTCGTTCTAAACTGTGAGGAAGAGGATGGATGAATGGAAGAATGACATGGTTGCTTTAATGAACGCAGGAAGCTATTCGCGTTGGAGCCTTTGGGTGTGCCGGCGCGCGCGCGTGTGAGGCTCTGAGAGAAATTGCTTTGCAAACGTTGGTGTGATGGAGAACGAGTTGAGCGATGGATCACATTGCAAAGTTCACAATGCGGAATGTCGGCTATCGTTCGAGGGTTGCGAAGAAGACGCAGGCTGCATAGTTTGTCTCGACGCGTGCAAGACACGCGCAAAGGACAACACATTTCCTTATCCTCCCCTTTCCTACGCACAACACCACCCCGCTGAAACCCCCCTTTTGTGGTGCAAAATGGCCACTGAGTTGCGGGTGCACAAGTCGCTTGAACAATTCATCCTCAATCTCGAAACAACTTAATGCCAACACCCTGTGGTTTGCTCTGGTGCTCTACCAACACGACAATGTTGTCATGGAGGGCCTATGAATTGGTCACGATTCAAGACATTTACGTTTGGGAACGTGCATGCAAACCAAAAGTGATCTTCTGAAGACGTGGCTCGTTGGGAACAGGGAAAGAGCACCAACGCGGCACAGCTTTCCTGAGAAGGCGAGAAGGTGAGAGTGGTTTTCGCAAGGGCCACATTTCCGAGCTCACATCAGTTGCGACAAAACGCGACCCATTCACTTGTTGTTTGAATTGTATTCTGGCGCAAAAATATCGGCCGCACACGGAATATGCGTCCATTGACGTACCAGATTCAAATTGTTCCTGACAAGTTCGGCAACTTGATCAGCGGTGTGAAGGCTTGTGTGAATGCGCGAGGTAATCTCTTCGACTACTTGCGTGAGTTAAACATTTTCGGCTCAGCTTTTTCTCGATCTGTATTCCAACCCCACAGCCTCCCATGTCTGACCAATCTTCGCGACTCTTTCTTCTCCTGTACTTTCCTTTCTCCTTTTAACAGCCGTGCCGGTTTCCTTGGGCCATACCAAGCAGAGCATACAGTTGGCACGGTGGTTACGCTTCACTGGTCAATTACACAAGTGATCAACTCAAAGAGACGGTGGTCAATGGACACTGCAATGTGTGGCGCTGTCGTAATATTTTCGTGTTGAACGGACTGGATGGATGGCTTGGCAAGGGAACATCGCTGTTTGAAATCTGTTGATGATTCCGTTGCCTCCTTCCTGTTCCTGGAGCGCCGCCACTCGACGGCCTCTCACCGAAGGCGAACCAATTAGCGACCTATCCAAGCAGCCCGCATCTTTGCCAGTCGTCAATGCAGTAAATCGAATAAGCTTCCCCCCCCCCCCTTCCCCCCTTTTTTTTCATGTTGTTTCTCTCTGTGCTGCCTGTGCTGTGTGCTCTTCTTCTTGCATTGGAGAATCCACATCATCTATATACAGCATGGAAAAGAGTCTCATGCGCACTTGCTCACAACGGGGTGCCCTTTGTATTCCCCGTGTCCCTTTTCGGGAGCGCAGCGAATTTGCCCGCCAGCCGTAGCCTCCACACCGCGTCATCCTTTTCGCAGGCCATTTTTGCAGCTGTACACAGCGGAGCCCAACCCAACACGCACTTGCCATCAAGGCCCGTGTTCCTCCCTGGAGACGACCTCCTTCCCCTGCCCCCCTGCCCCGCATCCTCCCGGCCACTTCTCCAATTTTTTAAACCCGCACCCCAGTACTTTCCATTCCGCTGCAGCCCGCTCCCGCTCCCGGCGCCCCCCTCCAAGGCCCACCGCCAACACGCGACCGCGGTCACGGTCAGCGCGCCCAACCTTCCTCACCTCCCTCGCCTCTCTTCAGCGATAGCCGCGCGGCGCCATCCGCATCCCAGGGGCCCGCCGCCCGCCGGGCCCTCCGCCCGATCCCGCCGCCGATCTCGGCGAGGCCCGCGAGGATGAAGCTCTCCATCGAGGTGGAGATCCAGCCCGAAGAGGTGGCGCTCGCCACGGAGCTGTTCAAGTTGCTCAGGCGCGTGCGCCGTGACGCCCCGTGGCGGTGCCGCCGGCGGGCCGCGACCCTCTCGTGCGCCTCCGGGCGCCGCGATCTCTCAATTGGCCCACAATCCGATCCTTCCCATGCATTTTCTTCAAGGACGCCACACCGTGCCCAGCGGTGCAGAGCGGAATGGCCGAACCGCGCTGAGCGGTGATGCCTTGCGAGTTTCCGGAGCCGTTACGCAACCGGCGATGAGTATACATCTTTTATGCCCCCTTGACGACGCCTGGCCGGTTCGCTGAACGCTGTGTTGTTGCTCGGCCATCCCGCAGGTCGCTGGCGCAGGAGGTGGGCGCTTCGGCGCCCGCGGTGAAGGATCCGGGGGCGGTGCTGCGCGGCCTGATCGAGAAGCTCGTGGACCCGTCGCGCCTAGACCAGGTCTGCGGCCCGGGGCCGGCCACCTGCTTCCATCCCGCTACCAGTACATTGTGCGGTTCCGGGGCCGTGGCGCCCGGGAAGCGAACGAGCAAACCTCTAAGGGGAGGGGCGCGGAGCGATCGCTCTCAGGAGGCTAGGTGGCCGATACCATCGCCGAAATCGCAGAGGATGTCGCCTAGGGGAGCGCTTGGAGGGCCTGTTGGGTCCTTGGGGTGGGCCGTTGACTGTGTCGCGCGTTCCCCACGCCGATTGGCCATGCCCCGTGATGCCCGAGGCCGTTGTTTTAGGCGGAGAGGGGAGCGCGAGGAGCCACGGGTGCCGTCCTCTCCTGCGAGAGGCTTTTGGCTCGTTCGTTCGCGTTTTGTGGAAGGGGATGAGTATTTCGCGGCTTGCAAGTCAGAGTCTCCATATATGTGTATAGCAGTGCACTGCGCTGACCCCCGCGGGTGTCAATGCAGTGCCTGGAATGATCCTGTGGCGCAAGAGCTCGTCGTTGCGTCGCCGGCCGAGGTGGGCCGTCCCCCTGGGGCGAAGGTGTGCTTGTTG